ATCTTTTACAAATTATTCTAATTATAAACTTAAAGCAAATTATAGATAGAAAAGCTATACATTTTATCACCTGCAAAATATATAACACAAACAAAATTACGTATTTGTGTTACTACCGGGAATTTTTTCTTGGCTGTCGATACACTTTAAACATTCATTTAAAAAATATGTGCACGTAACAATTCAGCCTTTAATTATTTCAATTCGATAAAATCTTACGTATATAACATATACATTGCAACGTTAGTAACCATTCTCACAATCAGTCTCTTTTTTTAACTCTATTAGTCACTCAGTCTCCGTAAACATTTTGTGCTAAAATAAAATAGTAAATGTTTAGAGAAAGTGACCATTTAAACTCGTGCACATAGCACAGAATAGAACCGCACGCTGTGGACATAGCGCACCGACATGTCGCTTGTGGACTGGCTGCGTAGTTCCAATATGTACCATTCGTGGACATGCGCTAGTTTACGGGGCCAAAAAGTGATTACACATTCTCTTATGGACCTGGCCGCTCTCAGGGCGATGTCCCATTGAGCGGAAATCTATAGCGGAACGGAATGTGCGGAACCAGCTCGACCAATCGTAACCANAGAAAAAGCGAAGGAAAGAAAACAGAATGGCTATGATTGGTCGAGCTGGTTCCGCACATTCCGTTCCGCTATANATTTCCGCTCAATGGGACATCGCCCTGACGTAACCGAGACGTACGCCTGCGTGAACGGAACAGCGAAAGGGGAGTGAACATCCGGCATCATTCGATGTTCGTCCATTTCGTTAAAGGTGGTCTAAGAGTCTGTGCGTTGTAATTTAGTTGAGATTGTAAATCGATATTCATCGTTATCTGTGAGCTGTCTGCGAATTATTTTAGTATCAGGTAACCACTTAACAATCGTTTATCTTGCAGAATTATATATTATATACGTGAAACTCTATGTAATTAATCGAGATAAATGCATCTGCCTTTTGAGATCGAGACAACCGAACTTTCATATTCGTTGCTGCTTTGTTTCTCGATATTCGTGGATTATGATTGTAGAATTAGCGAATCTTTAACATTGTTTCCTTGACAATTATACAACTGGAATCTATTGATATTCAGAAATATAACGATTGATTAAAACTTTTTGGTGAATCGATCTCGAAAGGTGAGGACATTTATGTAGGTTACATGTACATTTTACGTGGCGTCGTCCGCCATATTTTAGAAATCAGAGATATACTGTTGAAAAGTATCGTGTTCTCTCTAGGTTTATAATTTGTAAAATTCTTGAATTTCTTAATTATTATAAACATTATATAATATATAGCATGATTATGTGAAGATGGATTTTATATTGAGATATGTAGTACTGTCTAATTAGCAACACAAAAGAGTCTACACAAAGGAGTTATTTTGTTTTTTTCAATATTCAGTGAGAAACAAAGACAAAATAACTTATATCGACTTGTGTCACTAATTAGAAAACACATACATATATGTGTATGTATATACGTAAAAATCATCGAATTTCGTTAATTATTCTTTTTTATTAGAGGCAATTATTGTATGTTAATACATTTTGTCTTATTTCATCATAGCTGTCTATATGTTTGACAAAAATTTTTATATAATTTTATTCTCTCTTACTGGTTAAAAGATAAGTTTAAGAGTGGGAAAGATTGCTCAAGAACAGAAGCTTGAGTGTATGTATATACATTTTTGTCTTAGATTCATCATGCAGATCTTTGTAAAAACTCTTACTGGGAAAACCATCACTTTGGAAGTCGAAGCTTCAGATACCATAGAAAATGTTAAGGCCAAAATTCAGGACAAAGAAGGAATTCCTCCTGATCAGCAGCGTTTGATTTTTGCCGGTAAGCAACTAGAAGATGGAAGAACCCTTTCCGATTACAACATCCAGAAAGAATCCACACTTCACCTTGTTTTGCGCCTTCGAGGAGGAATGCAAATCTTCGTGAAAACTCTCACTGGAAAAACCATTACCCTTGAAGTCGAGGCCTCAGACACTATAGAAAATGTAAAAGCTAAAATCCAAGACAAAGAAGGCATTCCTCCCGATCAACAACGTCTAATCTTTGCTGGTAAACAGTTGGAAGATGGAAGAACCCTTTCCGATTACAACAT